ATCAAGCCAGGGGATCAACCCTGGTTCAATTGAGAGTGCAGGAGGGCATGCCAGGAGCAGCACCGGGCATACCTGAAAATGAAGTATCAACTTTGTGAAGCCACCAAACAGGACTATTTGCACGCCAAACAGCATAAACAGCAAGTGATAGCAGAGCTAAATGATCCAACAATCAATGAATTGGATCTAATCTCTGCAGTCCTGCTACATCCAGCCGTGAATGGTAGTGGACAAGTAAAATAATTAACGGGAGATGGCAGCCTCCACAATTTCCCCAATTTCCCCATCCTCAATGATAGAAGAGCCCAGCACATCAGTTCAAAAGAAATTTTTGCAACTATCTTCAGCCAGAAGTGCTGAGTGAGTGATCCATCTCAGCCTCCTCCAATAGTCCCCAGCATCACGGATGTCAGTTTTCAGCCAGTTCAGTTTACTCCATAAGATAACAAGAGATCATTGGAGGCACAGGACACTGCAAAGGCAATGGGACCTGACAACATTCCAGCAATGAGTACTGAAGACTTGTGCTCTAGGACATGCCGCTCACTGAGCCAAGCTGTCCCAGTACAGTTACAACACTGGCATCTACATGACAAAGTAAAAGAAATGCCCATGTATATCCTTTACACAAAAAAAAGGACAAATCCGATCTGGCCAATTACCACCCCATCAATTAACGCTTGATCATCACTAAAGTGATGGAAAATGCCGTCAACAGCGCTATCAAGCAGCACCCGCTCAACAATAACCTGCTCAGTGACACCCAGTTTGGGTTCTGCCAGGGCCACTCAGCTCCTGACCTCATTACAGCCTTGGTTCACACATGGACAAAAGTGTTGAATTCCAGAGGTGAGGTGAGAGTGACAGCTTTGACATCAAGGCTGCATTTGACTGAGTGAGGCATCAAGGGGCCCTAGCAAAATTGGAATTAATGGGTACTGGGGGGAAATTCTCCACTGTTTAGAGTTATACTTAACCTATAGAAAAATGGCTGTGGTTGTTGGAGGTCAGTCACCTCAGCTCCAGGACATCTCTGCAGCAGTTCCTCAGGGTAGTGTTGTAGGTCCAACCATCTTCAGTTGCTTCATCAATGACCTTCCCTCTGTCATAAGGTCAGAAGTGGGGATGTTCGCTGATGATTGCACAATGTTCAGCACCATTCACGACTCCTCAGATACTGATGCAGTCCGTGTTTAAATGCAATAAGTTCTAGACGATATCCAGGCTTGAGCTGACAAGTGGCAAGTAACATTCACGCCACGCAAATGCCAGGCAATGATCATCTCCAAAAAGAGACAATCTAACCACTGCCACTTGGAATATAACACTGTATGTTTAACAGTACAGACTCAATGGGCTGAAGGATCTGTAGGGTACTGTACAATTCCACAATTCTATAAATTTAAATGGATAAAAAACTCAGTATTAAAGTGATCACCTATTAGAGCACAACCAACAATTTAAACCTTAAAACACTATTGCCTTGGAATGCTCCAGTAGACCCCACATTCAAAGCAGGCAGGCACTGCCAGATGTCTCATTTACCAGACGGGGGAGCTAGAATTATGTTTTGGATGTGTAATCATCCCTTCCATTAGCTTGTCTGGAATTCAAGTTTCGTCAATTGGCTTGCAATTTCCCATTCTTACAGAAATATTATTCCTAAATATCAGCTGTCTGCAGCCCTTGGCAATGATGGAACAGCCCAGCAAGCTACTCAAAATAGGAGAAAATCACCCAAAACGAGACTCCAGTGATAAATTTGATAGTCCCTATAGACACTGGGTTTATGATGCACATTTAACTTGAACATGGTCGGTGTAATGCAGGCAGCATGCCAACCTTATGCTGCTTTCTGTTTGAACTGATCCCAGCGACCAACCCAGTTCTAACTGTTGACATGGTATAATGCTGAGCAAGGCACAGCACTGTTTTCAGGTGTGGTTAATGTCCCTTCGTGGAGGAGTTGGAAGGTCAGGGAGATGTCTTGTAGCCACAGGGAAGGTCTTCTAGATTCTTGTTCAAAAGCTAGTGGGATCAATTAAACACAAGGGTCAATGCCAGGAGTCAAGCTCCAAGAACATGGATGCATTGTTATAGGATGTTCATTGGCATGATACAAATGGTCAAGGTTGATGACAGTATCTTTAAATGCCAGGTTCCAGCAATTGCATCACAGCATCAGACACCTCTCAATTCGCCACATCCCCATTAGTGACTTACCAATCCCCAGTCCAGTTGCCCTTTCTTCCAACTTCTTCCATCAAGCAGAAGATACAGAAGCTTAAACACATGTACCAACAGATTCAAGAACAGCTTCTTCCCTGCTGTTATTAGACTGATGAATGGACCTCTCTAACTTCAAATCTAATATTGACCTTGATTTTGTGCACTTCCTGTGCAACCGTAACCTTGTATGCCTCACTCTGTCTAAACACCCTCTGATCTGTATGTCCTTGTATGCTATGCTCTGCCTGTACTGCTTGTAAAACAAAACTTTTCATTGTCTAACTCAGAGATAGTAAGAACTGCCGATGCTGGAGTCAGAGATAACACAGTGTGGAGTTCCTCCAGCTCCACGCTGTGTTTTCATTGTTTTAGGTACATGTGACAACAATAAATCAAATCAAACCAAATCATACCTAACATTCAAATGTTCTTTCACACCCTCAAACCCTTAATATTTCTGGTGTTGTCAAACCCACATATTTGTACGTACTGCCAATTTTTCAACCCGGGCAGCCATATCACTCACTTCAATTGTGTGACCCTCACTGATGCATTTCATTCCCTCATGTACAGCAAGGTATGCTCACTACTATAGACAGTAGGAACTAAGCAGAGGTAGCAGTTCCTGAACTCTATGACTATTGCTGAGGCTATGCCGCCAGCAAAAGGGCTGAACCTATGAAGGATGACAGCTTGATTATATTAAATCCTCCTCCTCACATCCCATCTCCCCCTTATCCCAGAGATAGTAAGAACTGCGGATGCTGGAGTCAGTGATAACACAGTGTGAAGCTGGAGGAACACAGCAGGCCAGGCAGCATCAGAGAAGCAGGAAAGTTGACATTTCTGGTCGGGACCCTTCTTGAAATGTCAACTTTCCTTCTCCTCTGATGCTGCCTGACCTGCTGTGTTCCTCCAGCTCCACACACTCCCCATTATCCCAGGCCATCTTCTGATTTATAAGCTTTCAAAGGTATCAGAATGAATCTGTTAGTTACTCCCTATTCACATCACAACCTCACCCTTGTGCTTTCTCCTTTCAGACACTAACTTGCTAGGCTATGGAAAAACTGCATGACAACAGTAACGAGAAAGAAGCGTCATCAGCCATCTGCTCAGAAAATGAAACTGCACATAACTTAGGGAATAGCTTCAGGGTAGAATCTGTACAAAGTGTGACTCCAGGCACAGGGGACAAGGATAGTACAAGTGCTCGTTCATCAAACAGCAACATTGTGGATGAGTTCTGCAGCAAAAGACTCGGAGGAACACTTCCATGAAGTTGCCAGCAGAAGAAGCTGAATTTTACATTTGAAAGAAATGCCTGGTGCATTGGGAAACACTGCAGAAAACCTGCTGTCACTGTTAAGGAACATGGCAGAGTTCAGCACTGACATGGCACAAGATTCAGTGCAGATCTTGGAAGCATGGATGATCATGGACGCAATAGCCACCTTCATGAGCACAATGGACCAATGTTCCTTCTAATTTGTGTTGGCTATGCATAACAATTGGTTGCACTGTGTAGTCCCTTTAGAATTGATGTGTGGCAATGTACGGGCACATCTTAAATAGAATGTTAGTTTTATGCATCTGGTATGTTCCTTGCATGGTACATTTCCAATTACTGTATGAACACACACTTACACAGCCAAGAGAGAAATTGCTAGATACCCAAGCATGACACGATATCTGCTGACCAATGTCTTACCATAAATCAGCACAAGCATAATACACTATTATCTATTTGCTGCATTGAAAGTTTATGATGCAGGTAAATTAGCTCAGCTTGTTGCCATGGTTGACAGCTACAGTGTATGGTGGACTTGCTGTTTACCACAGCAGTTCAGCGATCTCTCCTCCAACATTAAGTGCTATATTCTTATGTGCTGTACTTTTTTAAATATAGAAATAATCAGAACTTCCACCAGACATATGACTTGGAAAATATGTTGTGTGATGTTAGGAGTGGACAACATCAAATTTCTTTGTTTGCTGTTTTAAGAGTAGTGTTAAACTTTCTAAAATGGACCTGTTACTGTCTCTATTAAGACAGAAGCCACACGACACCAGGTTATAGTCCAACAGAAGTCACTTTACCTGATGAAGGAGCAGCGCTCCAAAAGCTTGTGATTTCAAACAAACCTGTTGGACTATCACCTGGTGTCATGTGATTTCTGACCTTGTCCACCCCAGTCCAACACATGCACCTCCACATCGTGCCCCAAGAAAACATTGGACTGAGCAATTTGATATAAACAAGTGAGAAGATTGATGGGGGGATCTTATAGAAACATATAAAATTATGAAGGGAATAGATAAGATAGAAGTAGAGAGGATGTTTCCACTGGCAGGTGAAGCTAGGACAAGAGGGCATAGCCTCAAGATTAGAGGGAGCAGATTTAGGACTGAATTGAGAAGGAATTTCTTCACCCAGAGGGTTGTTAATCTATGGAATTCCTTGCCCAGTGAAGTAGTTGACGCTACTTCAGTAAACGTTTTTAAAGAAAAGATAGATTTTTTTTGAACAATAAAGGAATTAAAGGATACGGTGAGAACGCGGGTAAGTGGATCTGAGTCCACGAAGAGATCAGCCATGATCTTATTGAATGGCGGAGCAGGCTCGAAGGGCCAGACGGCCTACTCCTGCTCCTAGTTCTTATGTTCTTATGTAAGTGGTAAAGATAATATTGTATAGAGTAATTTTCAGCCTGTATTTCTCTAAGGGGTGCTATCTTTTATAAAACTTGTTTTCTTTTCTCTTTTTATAGTATATCCAGAAGTTAGAAGCAGAAAATAAATGTGTTCAAGAACAATTGATGCAATCAGTAAGTATATTAGTATTACTATCACTTTAAATAATTTAACATTTAACCTGAGTGGGCAGGTTTACAAACAAAATAAATGTGTTTCAAGTATTCCCTTGTAATAATCCCTGCAATTAATTGTATCTCAAATCATGTGGTTAAAAATTACTGTCCCCATGAAAATATGTTTGAATCTGTTGACTGCCAGAAGTATGTTACTGAAGAAATTATGAAATTTGAAGTGTGTTAAAAGACAGCAATCCTTTTTGGAGATAATAAGTTGGAACTAAAGTGGCACTGTTGTATGTGGGTTATTTCTCCCTCTCTGTCTCTGGACTCAGCCCCTCTGCAGGAGCTGCCTCCTGCTGTATTGTTGGCCACAAGTCCCAATAGCTGCCACAGAGAGGGCTCACTTATGGCAGGACTCATTCTGAAATCTCGCATACAATTCATAAGACCATAAGAAGTAGGAACAGGAGGAGGCGGTTCGGCCCCTCAAGCCTGATCCACCATTCAATAGGATCATGGCTGATCCGACCTTCCTCATGTCCACTTTCCTTCCCTTTTCCCGTAACCCTTGATTTCCCAACTGATTAAGAGTGTATCTATCTCAGCCTTAAATATACACCAAGGAGTCTGCCCCCACAGATCTCTGTGGGAAGGAGTTCCAAAGGCTCTCAATCCTCTGAGAGAGGAAATTCCTCATTAGACTTAAATTGGCACCCCTTTATTCTGAGACTATGCCCTCTGGTCCTAGATTCTCCCATGAGGGGAAACATCCTCTCAGCATCGACTCTGTCAAGCCCCTTCAGAATCCCAGATGTATCAAAGAGATCACCTCCCATACTTCCACAATCCATTGAGTAGAGTCCTAACATGTTTAACTTTTGTTCATTAGACAGTCCCTCCATGCCAGGGGTGATCCTAGTGAACCTAATGAACCAATTCAGCAAGTATTGTTTTTGAGGTCAATCAAGAAATACAGAATTGTCAAACTAAAGGGTCTCTTCTTATTGCTAAAATACCTTCCAGTGCTTTATGAGCTTTGCTTTGAACAATGAACATACTGCTGAGTTAGATTACAGTTGCTACTCGTAGGTTTCTGGTTTCTAGATTATAAAAAGGACATGAAAGCAGTGGAGGAAGCAGGAAAGATTCACAAGAGTGATTCCAGAAATGGGAAGTTATAACTATTGGAAAGGTCTGGTTTCTCTAGAAATGAACAGGCAGACTTGATCACAGTCATTAAAATAACAAAGGGTTTGATAGAGTAGAAGTGAAACAAATGCCTCCATGTGATAGAACAATCCAAAACTAGAAGTCATAAATATAAGTTATTATTAATAAATCCAAAAAGGAAATTTAGGAGAAAGTTCCTCACCCAGAGAATGGGGAGCTTGCTGTCTATAGGAATAGCATCAATACATGTAAGGGAAAGTTAGATAAGTATATGAGGAAGGAAAAGGAACAGGAGGAAATGTTAATGAAATGAAATGATGAAGGGGGAGAGAAGGCTCATGTGAAGCAGAAACAATGGCCTAAATCATTTGGACCTTATGACTTGTATCTGTAAAGTCGATATGACTTGATGAGGTACTGACAGACATCTGCCTGCTACCATCTTTATCGAACAGTAATTATGATTGACACTGAGAACTGGTAAAAACAATTTAGCTTTAGGCATCACTGTTTGGAGCATCGTTGCTGCACGCTGCTGGAATTGTAGCTGGTTTAAGGCAATAACAAATTTGGATCCCATATTGGTTTTCCATGTGTGAAATTGCTTCTCAGTGATTCTCTTTTTCTCTGGCATGACAGTGTTAAGCTTTGAATAATGAATTTCCTTTGTGCTCCTTAGAAGATTTAAATGGCTTAGCATTCTTTCCAATATTTGCAAATACGTTAAAAACTTTAAGGAGAATCAGAATAAAATGTACTTAGCAGCCTTCCAGCTGAGCTGGTCGTATCACAGTAGTGCGGATCAGTGTGTACGGTTTGTTCTAATCAGTCACTTGGAAACTGGCTTGCTCAGATGTCACCTATTTTAGACACTGCAGAATCTTACTGTCCCCCATTGACTTCAATAGAAAATAAGATCGGGTGCTGACTGAAATTAGCACTGATCTAGCTATTCTTTTCTTTAATTCACTTGTGGGATGTGGACATCGCTGGCTCACCAACATTTTTTATTGTCCGTCCCTGGTTGCTCTGGAGAAGGTGGTGATGAGCTGCTTCCTTGATCCGCTGAAGTCTACCTGCAGTTGGTTGTCCTGTAATGCCCTTAGGGATTTTGACCCAGCGATCAGATTGATCAGAAAAGGTTAAAATTATCCTCAGGATATTAACTTCAAGCAGCACATTGTTGAAGATGTCAAATGTTAATCTAGGTCTGTCTGGGCACTTTGTTAGGCATTAAAAAGTTTATGGCACATTTGAATGATTTCCAGATAATTCTTCCAGCATCTTTGTGAAATATCTCAATGTGAACCATAAAACCAGTTTAATTAATCATAAAATCAGTTTAATAAATCATTCAGAGATAGTAGGAACTGCAGATGCTGGAGAATCTGAGATAACAAGGTGTAGAGCTGGATGAACACAGCAGGCCAAACAGCATCAGAGGAGCAGGAAAGCTGACGTTTTGGGCCTAGGCCCTTCTTCAGAAATTTTTTTCCTGCTCCTATGATGCTGCTTGGCCTGCTGTGTTCATCCAGCTCTACACCTTGTTATCTCAGATTCTCCAGCATCTGCAGTTCCTACCTTGTTATCTCTTAATAAATCATTCCATGTGTTGTTTGTAAGACTTATTGAGTACAAAATTGTTGATGTGTTTACTTGCATAACACCTGTCACTTCAAGTATTTAATTGTAGTAAGTGTGGATTAAGGAATCAGTATTACATTGTTTCCTTAGCTAATTATTTGACTTTGAGTTTTAATTTTAATCAAGAAACAGAAACACAAAAAGATTATGAAGAAGCTACAGATTCAGCTAGCTCAAGTCAAACAAGATGCTGCAATCAATATGATGGAAGCAAAGGACAGAATTCAGACGTTGGAGAATGAAAATCAGTTTGCCAGGGGTCAGTGTGACTATTATTATAATGCAGCACTGTTGCACGTAGGCACAATGCAATGAAACATATACCCACAGCGTTCCCTGTTCAGTGTGTAATTGTGTAATTCAGCTTCTTAGCAATTGTATTATTTAACATTCCTTGGTAACAGCAATGTTCCACCCTGCTGACCGGACCTGTGGCAAGAGTATGCCGAAAGGGCTGTGGATATTTGGCCCCATGTGGCAACTTTACAGTATTTTGGTAAGCCTTTATAAAGCCAGTAGATGGTGGCAGAGTACCAAGGAGCACCACATCTTTGATTGTGCTTCCAGTTCTGAAATATTGAGATTTGTTTTCCTGGTTGTACAGTGGTCTCAGAGAAAAGCAGTGAGTTTCCACTTGTACTTGCACTGACTTTTTCACTAACATTAGAAAACATAACGATATTATCCCTTTATAATTGTGTTTTGTTTCCATTATCAGGGTGTACTAGGTAGATATAGGAGTGGAACTTTGACTGAAATATGTTCACCAGTTCACTGCTGAGCTGGTATTTCATATGTCCCAATTTTAAAATAAACTTAGCTTCAGAGTAATTTTCAAAGAGTAGTGGTATCATTCTATGGTGCAACTAATTTACCAAGATCACGCTGAAGAACTTTCATGCCATAAAGTGTTGCGTGTTTAAAGGGTTAGGTGGTTCTAAGTTGTGTATTGAAATAACTTTGGAGGCTTAATAAGAGGATTCTGTGGATAATCTCAGAACCATTTCTGTTTGTGTTGTTCTTTTAGCTGTGCATGTTTTTGCTATTCTGATTTTGTCAGTAACATAAGTGACTATTACCTTGAGGCATCTTTGTTTCCCAACACCACTATTGGTGCTGTCAGAAGGTTTCCCAATGCAAAGATGACACAGTATGGAGCTGGAGGAGCACAGCAGGCCAGAGGAGTAGGAAAGTTGATGTTTTGGGTCGGAACCCTTCTTCAGAAAATGCAGACTTGTGATTCCAAACTTTAAAAACAGAGCGAGAGGCCTGAGAGAGAGTTGCTGAACAATTTACAGAATCACAGAAATGTTGCACTGCAAAAGGAGGCTGTTTAGTCCACCATATCCGCACTAACCCATTGAGCGGTTTAATGTAATGCCAAATTCCTTCTTTTTCAAGAACACGTGGCCCACTTGTTGGTTCCCTGATAAAGTGTTGATTTCCTATCTTTGAGGAAGTCTGAAGCATGTAAGCCATGCATCAGTTTCTAAGATGGATGAAGGTAAACTTCATAGCATAGATAGGCAAATGCCTGACTATTCATAACTACTTAAAAACATACTGATCACATTATACTGCATTTTCAGTGACAATGTGTGAAAGAAAGTGGCTGGGTATGATTCAGGAACAACTCCTAGTGTTGTGGTATACCTGCCAAGGTGATATCAACTACATCGCCAGACATTCATCAAATTACCCATGGAACTATCTTCAAAGGCTCTAAGTTTAAAAAAAGAGACAGATGCAGAGCTGCGTCAAGGACATCTACAGCTAACATGAGGCACAGCATTGACACATGCAGTGACTGTGCTTGTCTGTGATCTTCAATCTGCCTCAATCTATCTGACAGCCTTTTTCCAAATATTAGTATCTTCATCGCCTTAGAAAACAGGAAGCAAAATTTTTTTTCAGAAATCCTTTTGAACTTTTTATGGACCAAAATATCAAAGTAAGATATATTATCAGTGGGTCAGTTGTGAAATTACAGAATCACAAATTCACGTCATCTATTTTTGTTATAAATTTGGATGAAGACATTTATGACTGGGTTCTCCTCTTTTTAAAAACCAAAAGAACTGCGGATGCTGTAAATCAGGAACAAAAACAGAAGTTGCTGGAAAAGCTCAGCAGGCCTGGCAGCATCAGACTTCTGAGAAAGTGTCACCGGACCTGAAACGTTAACTCAGTTTTCTCCTTCACAGATGCTGCCAGACCTGCTGAGTTTTTTCCAGCAACTTTGTTTTTGTCTCCTCTTTTTAATATTGCTCAGTCAGAGTGAAACCTCTGCTCACTTTTTCAACACTAATAGAATCCTGAAGCAGTTTCTTGCTTCAGAGATATTATAGGCACAGGCAGAGTCCCATCAGGATTCCTACTGTAAGGACAGACCCTGTGGATGTCAGAGGACAATATAGTATTTAAGTAGCTAGCTCAGTTCAGTTCATTTCAGTTTCTGATCAATGGTAACCCCAGGATGTTGATAGTGGGGGATTCGATGATGGTAATGCTATTGAATGTCAAGGGGTGGTGGTTAGATTGTCTCTTGTTGGAGATGGTCATAGACTGGCATTTCTGTGGCACAACTGTTACTTGCCACTTGTCAGCCCAAGCCTGGATATTGTCCAGACCTTGTTGCATTTGAACATGGACTGCTTCAGTATCTAATAACCACAGGCAACAAATGAGGATATTCAATCTATTCGACATGTTGTAGTAAAGAGTATTTCCGTACTTCAACACAGATGTATGAGCAGATTCAGAATAAAGATTTGCTTGAATAAAATGGAAATGAGCTGATATGACTCTATGGAAGCCAGATCAACATTCACAGGCTCAGGACATAGTCAAAAAGAAATTGCCTGGTCTGAACATTAGGATACTGCAACTGTCTACCATGATATATATTTGTGATCTTAAAGTTGTCACAGATGATGTGATGGGGCAACTACCTGAGTTAGCAGGAAAGAAATTTGAGAGATTATGGGTTCCCCAGATAAACTAACGGAGCAGCCACTGGGTTTTGCAGGAAAACGTCATCCACAAAGGATATCAGAGAGACAGAAGATCCTTCAGAGGTTAAATGGTTCTTTGACCAATCAATGTGAAAGTCACAATCAGTATAAATGTACTTCAAGCTAAAGATCTTGCAACCTTTCAAACCTGAATGGAATATATTCTTGAAGATTTGTGCAACTTCCAAACCGCCAGCATTTGTAAAAGCCGGAGACGGTGGGGAAAGGGCCACATGGGGACATGTGGCAGAGGTAGATGTGAAAGTATTTAAATATATGAATATATAAAGTTTAACTGTAGGCAGAAAGCTTGGGTGGGATTTTTGTTGTACAAGGGAATGATTCTGAAAGAGTTAGTGTGAAGTTGCATTAGTGTCCACCCAATCTGATATCGTCGCACAGTCCTGGGTGAAGAATTAGAGAGTTTGTTGTGAGGTTCTGATGACGACAGATAGTTCCACTCTGGTGAAATCAACAAATGCTGGAGACCACATCTGGTCAGACAGCATCCATGGAGAGAGAGAAAGCTAAAGTTTTGAGTCTAGATGACTCTTCATCAGAGCTGAAGTGAAATGTGGAGGGGACAGCATTTATGCTATAGTTTTGGGGTTTTGGTGCGTGAACGTAGTGGGTGTAGGGTGCCGATGGAGAAAAGATGTTAATAGTTCAGATTAAGTGATGGAATGTGAGAATGGCAGAACAATGGTGTGTCTCCTGACAGACTTGAAAGGACAGCAACTCTGGTTCTTGATAGTCTTTTTTAATTATGCCTGACTGGCCAATTTAACTTGTATCTCTTCCTATCATGCAATAAGTCGCTTCTTGTTATATAAGACAGGTGCCCCTTTTTTTAAGATTTGCTTGTGGTCTATCCTACTCCACCAATAATTAGAAAGGTCCTTAGTCGCAACAGGAAAGTCAGTGGCATTATTCTACCTGAGCCACTAATTACCAGTGGTTGGTTACCCAGAGCCCAGTCTGACCTGGAGGCTTGGAGATTGACAACTTGGACTTCCTCGAATGGCCTCAGTAAGTGCAAATAAGTTGTCCTGAGTCCAACATTCCTTTTGGGAGGATAGTAATTCATGCCAGCATACCTTTTATTTCTTGGCCTTCCTGCTGTTGCTACAGCTTTGTTTACTCCTTCCTCTGTAACTGCTGCGTCTTTTGTTGGGCTTAAGTTGAAATATTGGAAGGATTGTTGTCACAGATCTCTGAAATATTTCAGAGAGTTGTTTACTTTAAAGCTGTTTGAACTCATCCTGTAGCCAAACATTGTCATACACATTGCACATTTTCTGCAAAATAATTGCGACTTTGAAGATTATTGCAGGTGAGTGCCACTTTAAATAGCACTATAATGACTGCTGGGTGACTTATATCACCTTTAATTTGTTAGCAGTTTAAGGAAGTAGTAATGGCAGTAGTATTTGGCAGTGGGGATTTCTGGACAGCTCATGTTTGAATGTTAAGATCCCGGTTATTTCCTGCGGGCACTGTTTGCTGCCTAAATCAAGGTCTACCGAACAAAATGGGGCAGGCTTCCTGCAGCAAGTCAATATTTATCTTCCTGATTTTCATCTCACTGTCATTTTATGAACTGATAGCAAGATAGAAATCAGCATCACAGATGTTAATGGGATGCAGTTAGTTAAGCATTCTGATGATTATAAAGTAAATATCACGTCTGTTTCCAGAACAAAACAAATTCTAAAATTAGGATTGAGCCTGATAAAACATGGAAACATCAACATGAGCATTATGGCAGTTCAGGTACAGCATACACAGCTGCTTTCTCTGTTTGGCAGAGAGAACACATCATGTTTTCTTCATACTGCTAGATAAGTGAAGTGGTATTTAAAGTCCGTTTTATGTATAGATAGAGGAATGAAGTTCTGTAGGGTGTAGATATTAAGGATTTGTGTTCTATATTAACTCTCCTCAGCAATATACTCTTTAAAGACAGTTGTAATCATTTATTAAGAATTTGAATTCATTCCTTGCAATATTGCCTTTTCGATGAGAAACATTGTGTTTCATTGCATCCTGAAACTTGATGGATTTTGTGTACTGGATTTCCAGAAAGTTTTTGCTTAGGTGTTAAAACTTTAAACAATAAATTTGGTGATCCTATATTTCCAGTAGGGAACATGGATTAGAGAAAAATGCAAAACGTTACCCCCTTGATTTTTGGACTGATGAGCTACCAAGGACAATGGAGTATGTTTTTCTCCTTCGGAGCATA